TGGCAAAATCCTTGTGATAAGATCAGGATGCTGTCTGTTTTAAATTTTAAGCCAGCTCAGGGAAGCTGGTTTAATTAGCACTACGATAATCTCCAAGGAGTCTGTGCATGAGAGTGGATTCCTTGCAAATCTTTATTTTAAATGTATTAAATGTATTTTAAATGTTCTCGCCTTGAGAAAGAGTGCACCCTCCAGTGTTCCAGTAGTAGCAAAGCTCCAGCAGGAACCACACACAGCCTGGTCTTTGACTGGAGTCACGGCGCCTTCGTTGGGGAGCAAATTGGGACAAGACAGATAGATATGCAGGTATGAACAAAACTGTCCAAACAAACAACCAAAAAAATCCCTGACCCCTACCATACATATATAGGTTTAGCATGCAAATAGCAGATTGACAGAAGCTTTGGACTAAAGTAAAATTTTCTGGGCTTAAATCTAAACAAGATTTTTGGGTCTTAAAGAAAAAGGTCTTAACCCAGCATGCTAAATTCCAAAATGAGAGTGTTGTTTTTCATTTTAACTAAAAAAATAATAAATCATATTTCCTTTCTTTGAAACATTCAGGACAACGCTGTACACCTTGCTTAAACTGCAGTGTGGTGTACTGCAGTGGCATCCCTAGGGTTACTGTCACCCAGTGCATGGTGTCACCCCCCTACCATTGGCCTCCTCCTATTTCACACCATACAGAATCCTCAGTAATGCTTTTCTGCACTAATGTTTCTCATAAATCGTAATTCCTATAGACCACTGAATGTAATGCTACGGTAGTAGTTGTGACATAAAACAATTACCAAAATTACAATTACAGCTTCAGATTACAATAGCATATGTACAGCCTAAATGTATTTACATATACATAGTGAAGATTTGGTTAAAATGTGATGTTTTTAAAGAAATTTTAGAAAAAGAATTAATTTTTTTTAAAAAATCATTTTTTTAAAAATTAAAAAGTCAAATTTTGAAATTTTAAATTTTAATTTTTTTTAAATTCTAGGGCCTCTTGTTTCTCCTCCCACTGAGCCTCATCCCACTCCCACCATCTCTTAAAGCATTTTAAAGAGATACAGATGAATGCCACAGCCAGATTCTGCCAAAAGGTAGGTATTTGAGGAGAAGTGGTGTCACTCCCTCTTTAGGGCATCACCTGGTGTGGTCCACACCCCCTGCAAACCACAGGTGTAGTGGCACATTGTTGGCCTAGGACTTGACAGATCCAGGTTCAAGTTTTCACTTAGCCCAAACTGGGAACTGATTGTTAACAAGAAAGGAGTTTTCAATCTTGGTTTCAAAGCTATATTTTAAATGGTTTTAATTCTGCTGTTAATTTAATACTATTTTAATCTCATCTTTTTAAATGTTTTTAGCTATATATGTTGTTATGGTAACTTTCTACTATTTGTAGGCTACCTTGAGTCCCATTCTGGGAGAAAATTTGGATATACAGTTGGTCCTCTGTTTTCGCAGGGGATCCATTCTGGACACACACACCCCATGGAGACTCGCCAATATTCAAGCCCTATAGGCTTGAATGGATTGTACCCCTGTGGGTGCGCACCCCATTGATTTTAACTGAGGTCACCCCTCTGTAAATATGCAAAAGCGTGGACCTCAAGTCCGTGAGAATGGAGGGGCAACTGTAAAGAAAATCGTGGTGGCAGCGGTGATGATAAAGGTTACTGGTTTTATAACCTGGGGCCAATCAACTTTGATTCCACTGCTGACCTATCTCAAAGTTTTTGTGAAAATGAAGTAGGGAGGACCAGAGACCTGTACACTGCCTTGAGCTCAATGGGGGAAAGGAGACGTATCAATGTTCCTATTATATAAATAAAATAATTATACAGTATTCACCATAAAGCCTCCAATCCAGGCTGTTTGGCAAGATGAGGTCATTATACTGTTGTGATAGGAAGGCCCACCCTTTATTAGGTTGTCCAGTCTTTAACCTCCCCCTCATCACTGCTATCTCTTCTGGGGTTCGATCAGTCAAATGATTCATAGACAGTTTGTAGGAGAGATGGGCACGGTTCTTGGAATGAATATATCTGGAAAGAAACGGAGAAGGGAAGAAACCAAAACAAGGTTTTGGAAGACAATCATTCTGCTGCCCGCCTACAAGATTTGAAAAATTTGTGAGAGCAGCACTGTTGCCTGTGATGTATATATACACTCATCACAGTGTTATCTTGCTCATAGGTTCTTCAGGTTTACACTAAGAAATGTGCAGAGCCCATGTGCCTGGAAATAAGAACAATGCAAGATAAAAGAACATGCACAACAGGAGCATATCCTGTATACACAAACTAAGATGTGTTAATCTTCAACCTCTACTTTTCTTTAATGAAGATAGATCCATCTATATGGCTACAGAATTTGGAAAAGTTCCTTCTTTGGACTTTTATTGCTAGAATCGCAAGGGATTTATGCTGGTTGTGGTTAAAAAAAAATGGCAACATTTCTAAGTGCTAGCACCTTGACTTGGGGAAACTGGAGATGCTGTTTGCATCTGTGCCTCAGATTTAGCCAGCTCTGCATTCTTCTGTTCCTCTCTCGGCTGCCTTTTATACCTTATATTGTGGATGAAATTGCGCTTCCTGTGCTCCTTTTCCTTCTCGCTCTTGTACGTTTTTTGGAATTTCTCCTTGTAATGATGGAACAGGTGTTCATGGACTCTGCTGACTTCTCCAGTTCCCCCAACAAATTCCTGCATGGGATTGGCCAGAAAACTGTGTTCTGGTCCACCTCCAGGCCAGTGGGAACACTGTACACCTATGAGAAGCAGAAATGAAATGGCA